CCAATCTCTTGGGGGTCGATCCACTTGCGCTGCCTAGTTGGCATTTGAAAAGGCTAAGGGTCGATTCAACTTCGCCAGCATTGTAACGAGGGGGTGGATTATGCTTGCTAGGAAGGTTCGGCTTGTAGTAGGATGTCATGAAGTTTGCAACCTCCTCTCGAATGCTTGCCTCTGCAATGAAAGCCTCAATTCTGGCTTTATTTATACATTTCTTGCGAAGAGTCTTTAGACATCGCTCGATTGGATAGCACCAACAGGCCTGCACGGGCCCCCCCAACCGTGCCTCGGTCGGGAGGTGCACAATCAGATGCTGCATTGGCAAGAAGAAGCCAAGGTGGAAAGATCTTCTCAAGCTCACAGACCAACTCAGGTGCCATAGTTTCCAATTCTGTAATGACGGTCGAAGATAGCTCCTTGGCACAAAGCTGGCGAAAGAAGTAGCTCAACTTTGCCAGCACTAGCCAGACATGCTCAGGGACATAGCCTCGAACCATCGACGGAAGTATGCGCTCAATCCATATGTGGTAGTCATGACTCTTCATCCCGTTGACTCGTAGTCTCTAAGTTCACTCCCCTACTCAGATTCGCTGCATACCCATCAGGGTACATTAAATTCTTGATCCATCGAAGTACTTCCCTCCTTTGATCGATTTTCAAGACATAGGGGGCCCTAGGCCTTCTCCACTGCTTTCCTGTTGCAGGAGGCCGCATCTCTAGGTTTGGCCTATCGCACAACATCGTCAGGTCCACTCTAGCCTTAGGGTTGTCCTTAGACTTGTCAGTGTCCATGAGCGTTGCCCAAAGTGCCTCGGCGATATTCTTTTCAGTGTGCATGACATCAATGTTATGGGGCAGTAGGAGGTCATCGAAATAGGGGAGCCTCGTCAAGCAGGACTTATGAGTCCACATATGTTGCTCACCATATCCCACGAAACCACCATCTTCGTTGGGCACGAGAGCATCTATCTGAGCATGAACCTCTGCCCCAGTCCTCAAGTGCGGTCTAGGGTCCATCACTTTGACACCTTTCGTAAAGCTCTTGACGTCTTCTCTGAATGGATGGTCAAGAGGGAGGAATTGACGATGTTTGTCGAATGACGAATACTTGCCACCCTTCTTGAACCATATGAACCTCATAGCTTCCTTGCATATTGGGCATGGGAACTTCCCCTGAACACACCAGGCGCACATTAACCCGTACGCCAGGAAGTCATGCAGGGAGTAGTGGTACCAGACGTGCATTTTGAAGCTAGTCTTCGTAGCTCGGTCGTATGTCCACGCCCCTTTGACCCAAGCATCGATCAACTCATCTATCATAGGCTCCATGAAGACACCTATATTACTCCCCGGGTGTCCAGGGATTATCAACGACAGGAACACGGTATGCCGTTGAAAGGAGACACCGGGGGGAGATTCAGGGGGATGACGAACATGGGCCAACATGTGTATGGTGCAGCCATCATGCCATATGGATTGAACCCATCTGTTGCCAGCATGACACGTACATTACGAGCCTCCTCTGCTTTGAGAGGATGCCGCGAATTGAAGTACTTCCATGCATCAGCATCGGATGAATGTACCATCTTCTCAGGATTGTATCGTGTGCCATTTTTATGCCATGTCATCTGTTTCGCGGATTCCTCGATCATGAATAGCCGTTGGAGCCTCGGCAGGAACGGAAGGTGTCGTAGGACTCTCATGGGGATCTTAAGCTGCCTCTTCTGGCCATCGCCTGAGTCTACCTCCACGTACCTGGAGGATTTACACTTCGGGCAGTACTTTGCATCCGCGTGTTCTTTCCTAAATAGGACGCACCCCTTCGAACACACATGTATCTTGTCATATGGCATCTTAAGTGCAAGAAGGAGCTTCTCTGACTCGTACAAGTTCTTCGGCATAATGTGTGTCTTCGGTAGCATATCGCTACACATGGCCACCATCTTGTCGAAGCCTTCTCGACTTAGGTTTAACTCGGCCTTCAACCCCATTACGCGACCAATGGCATCTAGCTGAGAAACATTAGTATGATCGTGAAGGGGTCTCTGTGTCGAGTCCAACATCAGGTAGAAGGCATCTGCGGCAGCCTCCATCTCCTCCTTGTCACGTCCTTCAGCGAACTGAGCTTGGTGCGTGTCATCCAGCATGTCTGCTACCTCGGTATCATCATCGAAAGCCTCGAGCCGTGGTCTCACCACCTCCTCCCTGATACGATCTGCTTCACCATGGTGGATCCACCGGTGGTAGCCTGGAGTAAATCCAAACTTCACAATATGTTTACCCATGGTTAACCTATCTTTCCTTCTTCTATTGTCACAACTGCTGCACGGACAAACCACTAGAGAATGGCCTCCAGCACTCTCGCCAAATGCATGCTATAAGAATTCTTCGACCTTGACTATAAACAGCAAGTCGTAATCGTGCTCGTCTCTCCGGAGCATGTACATCCACTCACGGTCCTTCATCCTTTAACAGACGTATCAGCACATATGAGTCACCATCAATTGCATCTACGTGGTGTCCCTACTCTCTAATAGGTGATGATAGGTCCTAATCCCACCCGCGGATCCGTAGATGATGTTAGTTTCCATGCTCCGCTCCTATCCGAGACGGAATTTCGATAGCACCTCCCTGCTGTTCTCCCGATACATGTCATGCAAGGGAGAGTGTGTATCCAGAGAACAATAGGGGGTGATGCCAAAACACCGTCTCGGACCGGAGTGGACCATGAAAACTAACCCATCTATGCATCCGCGGGCTGTCCAAAAAACGTGGACAATCCGAAACAGAAACGCTTGTAGATATGCAAAGATCTGCATACCTCCAAACATATCTCTTTCGGACGGGAGACGCCTAACTAGGCTACACCGATCTACGATGACAGACAAGCGGAAAAAGAGGTGATTTATACCTAGGGTGTCGGTGAAGTCAGGCTAGCGAGGTAGTGGCGAGTCAACGCAGTGGTGAGGCGACGCAGTGCAGGCAGACCCGCGACGCCGACGAAGACGATCGGGGACCTCCGGGTCACCTCCGATAGGTCCTGCTCTGCAAAAGAAGAAACATGACACTATAAGTTCAAAATTTCGGCAGCACCTCCCCTGCACGGGGAGGTCTCCAAAACCTGCAAAAAACAATGGCACGAAGGCCGACAATCATAAACGGCACGAAGCCGATAAGCACAGTGGCACAAAGGCCGATATCACAATGGCACGAAGGCCGACAATCACAAACGGCACGAAGGCCGATAAGCACAGCGGCACGAAGGCTGACATCACAACGGCACGAAGGCCGACAATCACAAACGGCACGAAGGCCGATAAGCACAGCGGCACGAAGGCCGAGCGAAGAAAGGGTGGATATACCTTGCCCACGCTCGTAGGCGATTCAGTGACGGTAGGGGCGTCGGCAGGACGAGCATGCGGAGAAGACGGCCGAGGCACCTCCTCCTCCCCTCCACCTCGGCTTCCTCCCCCTCTCCCCTTCTCCTCCTCCTTCCTCTCCTCCTCCTCCTTCCTTTTTTTTTCTCTTTTTTCCTTCTCCTTCTTCCTTTTCCTTCTCTTTCTTTCTCCTCTTTTTTCTTCCTTCTTCTTCCTTCTTCTCCTCCCTTCTTCTTCTTACTGCTGCTTCCTCCTCCTTCCAAGCCGGCGGCAAGACCAGGGGAGCACGGGGGCAGCGGGGCCGGCGCGTGCAGGGGCGGGGGCACGCGGTAGCATCCACATGTGATGTCTGGGTTTTTGGCACTTCATATTTTTTTACCACAGCCTCCACATGCGATAACACGACGCCTCGACAAGTTTCGTAATTTTCGGACTTTGTTTGCATTTTATATAATTTAAAATCACATTTCCGGCAAGTCACTCGACATGTTACGTCAACGAGATGCTCGAGATTTCATGTGAGTTCCTGGATACGGTGTAAACATACCCTAAATATCATGAGTATCAATTTTTGGATGACCAAAGTCCATTATTCCATATACCTGCAGTTCAAATTTGAAATATCCCAAAAAAATTCGACGAAACGAAATAAACTAATGAAATATATCAAAAAAAGTCAAAATTACCCCAAATTTTAAAATAGAGTTTGAAATACTGTCACAAGGTCACAGAAAAAAAATTAGGCCTAAAATCAAAAAAAAATTACCGAGTGCCATGAGGGGCACTCAGCAAAGTGGGCTTTGCCGAGTGCTGGCCCAGGGGGCACTCGGCAAAGTTGATTTCAAAAATAAAAAAAAAAATTTATCGAGTGCCTAGCGCTGGCGCTCAGCAAAATAAGTTTTAAAAAAAAAAAAAAAATTACCGAGTGTCTAGGGCTGGCACTTAGCAAAATAAGTTTTTAAAAATAAATTTTTTTTTGTCGAGTGCCATCCGTTAAGGCACTTGGCAAAATCTGACGGCAGGTGGCCGCCGTCACGGGCCAGCCACCTTTTGCCGAGTGGGACTTTTGCCGAGTGCCGCGGCACTCGGCAAAGCCCAGATTTATCGAGAGCCAGGCTTTGCCGAGTGCCAGCGGCAAAGCCTAGATTTGCCAAGAGCTAGGCTTTGCCGAGTGAAACCACCTTTACCGAGTGGCTTATTTTGTCGAGTGCGGCACTCGGTAAAATATTTTTTTATCGAGTGCCTCGATAAAAAGCACTCGGCGAAGTACAGTTTCCGGTAGTGATTCGGCACTCGCAGTCTCGCACTAGTCTCTACTCTCCAGGAAAGAAAAAAGAAAAAAAAGAAAGGAAAAAAAGAAAAAGGAAAAGAAAAAGAAAAAGAATACTCCCACTCGCTCGTCCACCGGCACGAGAGGCTCCCGACGCATCACCGCCGGCCTCCCTCTCTGCCCACCCGTGCTGCACCCGTCGGCCCCGCTCCTCAGTTTCCTTCTTGAGTTCTTGTGTTGATTAGTATTCGTTTGCTACTGGATGACTTTCTTTGTTCTGATCCTGGTGGACCGTAGATCTGATCCGGCTGACTTGTTCTTCACAGCGACTCTTTCTTGTCGAAGAGTTTGGAGCCATGGGGAGGAAGGGGAAGTGGTTCGGTGCGGTCAAGAAGGTTTTTAGTCCTGAACCTAAGGAGGAGGAGGATGTAACGGCTCTAGTGATTCTTCTGTATGGGGCATTGTGTTGGATTTCCGTTTTAGTTTGTACTAGCCTTTGAACAGGATCTAAATCTCTCCTTTCCTCACTGCAAAGATTCCAGTCTCCTGATTTCAAATGTTGATGATAGAAATGCCAATTTTTCACTGACAGCTGCACACAATTTAATTTCTCACTTGTGGCCTTTTTTCAACTATGCTGTTGTGTTATGAAAAATGGAACAGGGATTATTTGAGAAAATCGGGATTTTGCCCTCATGGGGAGTGGGCTTCGCCCAAATGCCATCAATTTTGTGGGCTTGGCTAAAATACCCTTATGAAACGAGTCCAACACGCTATAATATCATTTTGAGTTTTAAGTCGACTTTAAAAAAAATTCAGCCAAAATTTTAGCCTTCAGTGACCATTTTGCCCCTGAGCTCACTGACCTATTTGCTGCGCTCTCATCTCTCCCCCTCTCGCAGTTCTCTCGCTAGAGTGAAAGGCAGAGCGCCGCCGCCCCAGGCCGCCCCCTCCCCCGCGCCGCGCCCCCGAGCCGAGCCTCGCCGCCGCCATCCGTCCCCAAGACGCTCCCTGCCCCAGGCGAAGGCTAGCCCGCCGGCGCCGCCGAGAACAGGTCCCTGCTCTCCCCGTCGCTGGATCTGCGGCCGCTGCTCCTGGCCATCCGAGTGCTCTTCCCCAGGCGAAGGCGGCCCCAGCCAAGCCGCCCGTCCGCGCCAGGCCACCGTCGCCCGACCGCGCGTCACCAGGCTATGGGTGAGGGTTCATCTAGTTCGTCGTTCATCCCAACAGGTGTCGTTTCTCTGTATCCACTTGGCCCTAGTGGGATCCCCCTGATTCATGCATTTTCTGTTGTCTCACCATCTATGAATCACTTGCTGTCCCTATGCAGATGTCAGTATTACCACCTTGTATATCAAGGGAAGAGCTAGCTGCAACCAAGATTCAGACAGCATTCCGAGGTTACCTGATAATATAAAATTAGCTTTGAATTAAGCTGATTCGTGGATTTTGTGAGATATGGATGCCTTGTACTACATCTTGAATAATTTAGATAAGAACTCACTGTGCCAGTTAAAATATTACACTTGTTGCTTTTGTTAATAGCTACTGGTAAAAAAAAACTAAAGATGATTCATTGTTTGTTTACCTGGGCTGCTGCTTAGCAGTTTTGAGGTTACAGTTCTTTTTTCTTATGATTTCCCTCCACATCAACATTACTGAACATGCAAGCAAATGTCTGTTGGCTGCAGACTTTCTCCTACAGTGTTCCACGTTTAGGTGTTGGCAGCCCACCGAACCTGCATCTTGTAGTCATTCAGTTATTATTTGGAAGTGAGTTCTCTTGGTTCAATACTTTTGCTATTGATGGTTTGTGTATTCTTTTCACAGCATTGTGTGGTAAATGAATTTTTATGAATCATAGCAAGTTTTCTAGCTTCAATTGCACCTTGAGGAACTGCTAGCTTCTAGTGTAATGCTCCTCGCCCCCTTCTTTGATGCGATTGTTACCCTTTCCGTTTATTTTCAGTATATGTTTATTGCAGTGGCCCTGAAATCAATCTTTCCAGGTGTTGCAAAGTCATGAACTGGCAGTTGGTGGCAGCTACCTTTCATTATTCTTCTTACGGATACTTTTTCTGCCTGTGATATTCATGTATCTATAATACAAACAGAATTTTGTGAATGTGACTTTTCAGCAGTGTATTTTGTTTGAATGCAAACATGACTTCAAACTTCATGTTGCTTTTAGTAAAAGTGGAGAATATTATAGTTTGTAAATTGTAAGATGACGAAATAACTTTGAAAATTTGGTTTGCTTACTCATAAAGAAGAATATAATTTATACTGTAAGTATGCTGAGACTTCCCTTCTTTGATAATAACAGGCAAGGAGAGCATTAAGATCCCTGCGAGGCCTTGCTAGATTGAAGACACTGGTTGATGGTAATTCTATTAAGCGTCAAGCTGCAAGCACTCTGTGCTGTATGCAGACTCTAGCACGGGTGCAATCACAGATACGTTCAAGGAGACTGAAGATGTCTGAGGAGAACCAGGCCCTCCAACGTCAGCTCTTACTGAAACAAGAATTGGATAATTTCAGGGTAGGCAAATCTCAAATCCCTGCACAAGAAGAATCCATGTGCTGCTTGTTCACTTGATTTGAGTAATATTGTTTTCTCCTTTGCCCTATGCCTTGAGATATTCACAAAATGTTGTCAAGAGCGCTAAACATATTCAGTTTGTAAATAAAACCAGATGGGTGAGCAGTGGGATGACAGTACTCAATCCAAGGAGCAAATTGAGGCGATCCTAATAAGCAGGCAAGAGGCTGCAGTAAGACGAGAGAGAGCATTTGCATACGCATTTTCTCATCAGGTAGGTTTCTGTTGTTCGTCAATAACAGGTGCCAATATGTATATTATCTCTTAGTGTGAGAACATGCTTATAATGTTTCATTCTGTTCGTTGCAGTGGAAGAGCACTTCGAGGGCTGCCAATCCAATATTTGTGGACCCAAACAACCTACAGTGGGGCTGGAGCTGGTTGGAACGCTGGATGGCAGCAAAGCCATGGGAGGGCCAGAATGGAACTGACAAAGAGAGCAACATTGACCGTGGATCCGTGAAGAGCATGAGCTTGAACCTTGGAGAGGGTGAAATCACAAAGGCCTTCAACCGTCGGGACTCTAAGCCAGACAAGCCAGCACCAACTACTCCAAAACTGATCCGTCCAGCCTCCAGGCAGTCCCCATCAACACCTTCTCCTAAAGTAACACCAATCCTTGTGAGGAAGAAATCCACCATGCCAAAGAATGGCCCTACGCAGGTGGATGATGATGCAAGGAGTGTGTTAAGCGTTCAGTCTGAGCGACCAAGGAGGCACAGCATAGCCACCTCAACGGCGCGGGACAGTGAGAGTGTTGCAGGCTCCCCATCAGTCCCAAGCTACATGGTTCCCACAGAATCGGCAAGGGCTAAGTCCCGCCTCCATTACTCGGCATTAAAGAATGGCACAGAGACACCAGAAAAGGAGGTTCTGCTGGACCCGCGAAGAAGAGGTTATCCTTCCAATCTGGAATGGCGTCTCCCTCACCGATGAGGAGGCATTCTGGTCCTCCTAAGGTTTAAGATAGTGAAGAACATTGTTGATCCGCCATATAGTCAGAAGCCTGGTAACTGATGGTGGAAACAAATGATTCGTAAGACAAATGGATGGTGAGAGGGGCAATGGATTCTGCAGATATATTTAATTCATGTAGAAAGTTAGATGTTACACAAACTGTATGAAGAGTTGGGGTTTGTATTTTTGAACAATTATGACCACATTGGTTTAGACGTAAAAAAGATTCATGGTTTCTGCCAGCCAGTTTCATTAGATAATAGTTGCAACCAAAAAAAAAAAAACCCCACCGACCCCTCCATTTGTTGGGAGCAAAACAATCTCAGTTTGTTTCTGAACCTCTGTATAAACAGGTTTTCTATTTATGCGAGGCCTACATTTGTTCATGTGTTCCTATACGCCTACATGTTAACCAATTGCAATCATAAAGCATCCCAGTTCACAATATTTATTGCTGAAAAAATTGCTATCTGTTTGCAACTCCAGGCAGAAAGCCATGTACCAACTCTCAGAGCAAGTATAATAAGTCCTACTCAGCAGGCTGCAAGACCATCCATGTCATCAAAATCCTATGTGAAGGTGAGAGAATTGAAGAGCATGCACCAAGAAAAAGATGCTTTTGTTTCTCTCTCCCAATCACATGCCTCTTTTTGCTACTGCTATTTACTGCTTAGAGCCGATTCAGAGCAAGGCTAATGGACACGCCGCTCGCCGGCTGCAAGAAGCTCCAGGTCACCCGAGCTGTCAAGCAGTGGTGGCGGACCCCACCGATCTTTAATGCTTCGCTGCGACGTGGAAGAACTGAAGTGGGAGAGCGGCAGCCACAGTGCATTCGTCCGCTTTTTGCCGGCGTCTCGCGAGTCGCCCGCTTTCTTCTCTCTCCTGCTTTCTCTCTCTCCCATGTCGGATTTCGCCAGCTCTTCGCCGCTTATAATACTTGCTCTTAGCCTGCCCAGTATACGAGTCTAGCTGTCACACGGATGCAACTCGCTTGTAGCCTGCTGCCGACGGACTTACGCCCTGTTTGGTTTCTACGGGCCCTCCTAAAATTTCTGTCACATCAAATGTTTAGATACATACATGGAGTATTAAATATAGACTAATTACACAACTTGCGACTAATTTGCGAGACGAATCTTTTAAGCCTAATTAGTCCATGATTTGACAACGTGATGCACAGTAAACCTGCGCTAATGACAGATTAATTAGGCTTAAAAAAATCGTCTCGCAAATTAGCCTCCATCTATGTAATTGGTTTTGTAATTAATCTATATTTAATACTCTTTATTAGTATCTAAATATTCGATGTGACATGAATTTTAGGAGCGACTAAAAATCCAAACACCCCCTTATATATTATCCTTGCTCTCAATATCCAAGATCTTAAGTGCTCAGTGTCATTAATTATCTCATCGTGATGTGTTATGTACTTATGTATTCTTCAGTAACTCTACTTCCCTAGACTTCGCATAACAGATTTCAGGAACTGCTTTATGATGATTAGGGTACGTAAATGATAAAACCGTCTTAATTAACATGTATTCAATTTCTATTGATTTACAATTCTGCATATGGTAATTTGATTTTTCCAATAAGAACTCCTTGGCTAGAGTTATATTAGTACCAAGCTTTTTAATAGTGGGCTAAGACATTTAGCAGCGTCCTCCAAATAGATACTCCATATGTCCCTAAATATCTATCGTTTTCGCTTTCCGAGAAACAACTTTGACTAAATATATATTAAAAAGATTAATATTTGTGGTACATAATTAATATCATTGGAAAGATCTTTGAATTTAGTTTTTTAATAAATTTATTTGGAGATACAAATGTTGCATGTATTTTCTACAAATCGAGTCAAACTTGCGACACGCATACCAACGGCGACAGTTATTTAGGGACGGAGGGAGTATAGCGGGAGCTATTTTATTTAGCGATTTATAGAAATTTTAAAAATTCTTATGTAATTATGTATAGAAACATTTAACTAAAGAATTGTATGAGAAAAATATTTAAATACAATTACAATACTTGAGGAGGGTCTCCACGCCCATTACTTAACTTTCATTAATGAATATGAATGTTGATTGCAACCATGGGTATGTTGAGTGAAGTCATATTGCCAGGGGACTCCAAGAAAAGTCTAACTAGTTGGTGGAGACTCCGATGTTGCAATAAATTTGTTAGAAGAGACCGCGTACATTAAAAAATTAATTTCAGCATGATAGGAGAGAGAAATATGATGAAATATCATTTTTGCCCTTTGTCCTTTCTTCATCCTCTCTCTACTCCTCCCTTGTCCTCGTACTCACGTGTCACCGCCGCCACCACCAAGTGCCTTGCTCGCCACTGATCCTCTGCACCCACTGTCGTCACTGCAATTTCTTTGCGCCGCATCGTGCTTTGTCGTGCCATGCCAATGCGGCGAAGGAAGGACGTACTGAGAGGTGACAAAGAGTAGCCATAGTCTCCCAAGGCGGTGAAGGGCATAGGGTAGGGCGAGGCCAGGGTAGCGTGGAAGGGCACAATCAAAGATCGTAACGGTGTGAAGACAGGCGTGTTGGTTGGCGTTCTGAGGTGTTGCACATGACCGGGGTCGAGCCAGGACTGGGTGTGCCCTACGCGACGTTAAGGCCCAATGAGAAGGCGCGCGGCAATGGAGTGATGGGCGTTGGGGTGAACGGAGGAGATGCATTAGCCGCCGCCGGCTTAATTTTGCCACTGCCCCAACAACGTCTCTTTCATGACTATGAGTGTTCCTCCCTAATACCGCAACACCGGTTGCTCCATGGTACCGACAAGGCAATGCCTCCCTCTTGCGAATTTATCCTTATGTCGTCATGGTTATATATAATAAACCGACTCTTCTCATATTATGGAGAGATCAAGTTATTCTAACTCTACCAGCTTATATACTGTAAAATACAAATCAAATTCGAATATAACGATGATCGAAATTCTAATGTTTATGCTGATAAAGGCAAACAAATGTGATGGTCTGGGAGCTGTTAGTCCACACAAAAAGGTGCTTCAACATGTTCTAAAGCAATGCGTGCAGAGAAATTTGAAGCTCGGGATCAACAATGAAAATGTATCAGTCGTATGGCAAGAAAAGGATCGTTGTTCAGTGTGTCATCAATCAGAATAATTTGGCGTTACACGGGTACACTACTCGATCGAGAGCAGCGCGTGAGAAGGGTCTCGGCCGAACACGGCAACGATACAAGATGCATGCCCGATCGAGTCGGATCAGTAGTAGTACGCCGGCAGCCAGTCCTTGCCGTTGATGAAGTCGATGGTGAGGTACTTGGCCGCGTCGTTCTGAGAGAACCGCCGCGACCATGGCACGCGATTGGAAGCGTCAGCGCCCGGTCCAGTGCAGTTGAACTCCGCGAGCATCACCTTGCTGCGACGACGATCACAAATGATGGCGTTACACTACGTTCATTCTACCTACCTCTACGTTATTGTATTGTTGCCTGGAATTAATTAATACTAATAACTTACTCGGTGCTGCCGGTGTAGCCTATGGTGGTCCAGCCGGCCGGGTTGACGGTCTTGGAGAGGTAGGTGTCGGAGAAGATGACGCGCGAGTCGGGCGCGCTGACGCGGCCCAGGTACACCTCGCCGACGCCGTACACCTTGCCCTTGAGGAAGACGAAGCCGCTGCTGTCCTCCTCCTCCCGTACTTGCGCGGTGATGGAGCCGCGGATCTCCGTCCGCTGGTCAGGCTTCACAAAGATCTCCGGGCACTGGAACATGGACTGCCCGTTGCCGAAGATGAAGTCGATGTTGCCCTGGATGTAGCAGCTCTCGTAGTAGTGGCGCCCGGCGCTGTCGAAGAGGGTGTGGTGGGGGCTGTAGAACGCGCAGTGGTAGAAGGCCACCTTGTCGCCGGCCACCATCGCCGCCACCGACCGGATCTCCGGGTCGTTCACCAGGCCGACGCGGGCGCTGTTCTGTCGTCAAGTTTTGCATTTCATGGATCGTAAGTGTCATCACCATTATTACCATTCTAGCTAGACGACGTACGTACAAACGGAAACGGGCCGGGCACGGACCCTGAAGCTGACGCCGAAGACGACGACGTTGTCCGCGTTGACGGTGAACGCGGCGGACTCAGCGTTGTCGGAAGAGGAGGACTCGTGGGAGATGGAGGTCCGGCCTTTGCCGTTACCCCTCACGAAGATGAAGGGCTTGTTCTCCGGTATCACAACTTTGCCGCTGCATCAACCATGCGTACGTGGTCGTTGGAAATCACCATAATCATAAGAATAAAAGGAGAGGGCCGGGAGAAGTGCATCATGCGCATGTAGGCATGCCTGTGCAGGCCAGAGCGGAGGTGGACGATGATCCACTCGGCGTTCCCGGCGGGCACGGCGTCGATGGCGGACTGCACCGTCTTGAACTCCTCGTCGGGGCCAACGATCAGCGTCCGCTTCGCCTTGATATTCTCCGTCAGCAGGGGCCCATTCACGATGTCATCGCTTTTCTTGGCGAGCTTCGACTTGCCCAGCGCGCCGCCGGGCGACCACGTGAGCACCGCGGCAGCAGCGAGAAGGAAGGTGAGGAGGCACGGCGTCTGGGCCATCGTCGTCGTCCTCGGTTCTCGATCGCACGTGCGATTCTGCAACAATAGCTTAGCTAGTTTCTAAGAGGCAATGACGCAGCGCAAGGGCCGGGACTCTTAACGCACCGCTCTGTTTCTGGCCGCTCGCTGCTGGGATGCGGGGGAAGGGCGGAAGGCTACGAGGTGAAAGCGGAGACTGTTTTTTTTTTTCCTTCACACCTGGTTGTCCTTCCCGCGTGTCCCCGTGGAATCGTCCTTGGCATGTGGTTTCGACATAGTAATCGCCTAATCCGTCATATTATACACTAATCGTAATCGCACACATATGTACGGGTACTTCGTGTTTCATACATAGACGTGAGAATGGACTTAGACTATCATAAATAGTTTTCGAAAAATCAAAAGAACTCATTTATTGGATTTACGGTCCAATTGATTCAACTACGAGCTGTGGAAAAACTGATGTAAACTTTAGGCTATGAAAAAACTACTATGAGCTACATGACTAAACAAAGTTATAACTATTTAGTTGAAACAATTATGAAACATATCTCTCTCTTTTATCTCCCTTAATAAAACAGGTATAAAACGTCTCTCTATTTTCACCCATTTGAAATAGCAGAAAGCTGAAAACCAAAATAAGGGTTTAAAAAGTTAAACCAAACATAGACTTAGATCCTTTAAATTTTAGATGTGAATTGAATTACTTTATAATACTAATTTGGACTTATGAATACCGGGTCTCACCGTGTACTCCGGCCACATGAGGTAAAACCTTGATTAAATCTTTTTTTTTTGAAAAATTTATTCTAGCTTGCAAGAGTTTTGCACCCAAACGTTCATTATTACAGATGTAGCCTCCAGTTGATTAATTAACGACTCACAAAAACTTAAAAAAATTAAGACAAACTCAAACTCGATGACATACTAAGCATTAAGTCTATTAGAAGACAAACCACCCATTCTTTGCGACTGATCTGAATTTCCACGGTTATTGTTTTAGTTGTGATCTTATGAAGAATGGACTAGAAATGTGTCCAATAGATGGCTCTGAAGATTACCTATAAGTAGGAAAATAATCTTTTTTTGTCAAACACTGAGTCATTTCTGACCAACCAAATAGACCAGCAAATAGTCACCGGTCCCACCCAAACTTTTTTTCTTGTTGATCCCGAAGACCCTAAAAATCTAATAAATCCTTTGGAGGTTGTAAACCAAATGCAACCTGAACAATCCTTTAAATAAATCTTGCAACATGACAATCAGAAAACAGGTGTTGTATATTTTTCTTGTTGTTAAAAAACAACAATTACCATCCCCTTTCCAATTTCGCTTTAGAAGGTTGTCTTTCATTAAGATAACACCCTTTAGTAAAATCCAAGAAAAGATCTTAATTTTAAGAGCATCTCCAAGAGTACTAAAAAAAACCTTCCCTATCATTCTTTTTAGGCAAGATTGGAAAAAACTCATTTTCAACAACTCATAATCTATCCTCCCAAACTTTTAGCACTCAGAGAAAAAAACCCCACATCCGTGTAAAGTTACGCGCTCTCTTCGTCGCACGTATCCTTCTTTCCCCGCGCTTTCTCCTCGGTGGCGCAGCGAATCGAGAAGCAGGCAGCCTTGCCGGTGGCGTCTGGGCCACCATGCACGCCACGAGGGGAACGTTTATCGTCCCCGAGTCCTTGAACCCACCCGTCCTACCAGTCCCGGACGCAATCCTCTCCAGCTCTCCCGTCGTGGTCATGCTCGACCAGGTCGCGTACATCGGCGACAACTAGAAGAACGGGACATTCGCCCAGGCCATCACGCGCTCCAGCTCTCCCGCCGTGGTCATGCTCGACCAGATCGCATACATCGGCGACGACCGGAAGAACGGGACGTTCGCCCAGGCCATCACGTGCACGGGCGCGGCCATCGGCATGCCCCTGTGTCTCACGGACCCGTCGGCCATCTCCCACCTCCGCATCCACTGCCCGTCGGGGTCGGGGTCGGGCGGCCTCAAGGCGACCGACATCATGGACGAGCAAGGCAAGGACGTCGCCATCATGGCATCATCCGACACCGACCCTCCGTCGCTCGACGTGTTGCCGAGCCCGAAACCGAATGTCTTCCACCCCTGGGAGATCGGGTTCTCTCCCTGTGGCGACGACGGCGAGGGTGAGTTTCTTCTGGCTGTGCTTCGTCCTAGACTCGTGCACCTGCAGTACGCCATCCACGTCTTCTCCTCCCATAACAACACATGGTGACATGGACGACCAGGCTAGCGATGCTGGAGCCGCCATGTCCTCGGTACAGGGACGACTACCTGGTGCACGAGTGTGAGGATGTGATCAGGGATTACTCGGCTGTGACCAAATTTTGATTTATTTGAAGTCAAATATTATGTACTATTGGAAATGACCTTATTTTTTTCTCCCAATATCTTTTTATGAGTTGGAAAACATGGTGTTTTTAGAAAGAAAATTTAGGATATTCTTGGAGATGCTCTAAGAGGTAACTTCAACTTCCATAAAAACTTGTTAAGAGGCATTGCATTTGATTTACTAAAAATACATGTAAAGATTGTAATGTAAACACTTCTTTCTTTATAAGATCCCATTTTAAAGAGTTAGGTTGGTCATGAAGTTGCACAAATGCTACCGTAGTAACAAGCTCATTCATTTTAAAGAGTTTTACTTAGCATTATTATCCAGTGGACTTAAAAAACCTATCATACACCTCAATAAAGCATATGTTGTTCACATGAGTGTTCTGCCATTTTCCTTTTCTAACTTGTTCGACAAACAAGTGTGGTATGACAATCAATCCAGTCCATTGCATCACCCTGACCATGGTTTCCCACAATATTTTCATCACCCAGACCAAAATTTCCCACAACGGCGCGTTGCTGCAAAAAATTGGAAGAGAATCTCATACCTCATCATCTCTCGCCTTCTTGTTGGTCGACGATGCACGATGTTCACTTGCGTCCAGGAACTAGGGAAGAAACCATGAAGTCTTGTCTAGCAGTGCCGCCGGCCATGGTACCAGTGTCCGCGAGGACAACAGCTCCTCTAGCCAGGCAGACAGCGCCCACTGCCAGGGGGCCATGTGCCCAGCCAGCCCAGCTACACCCGCGGCTAGGGGAGGTGCACACCTAGCCAGGCCAGCTGCGGCCTCTGCCAGGGGGGCCACACCCCCGGCTAGTAGTGATGCCCATTTGCACAAACAAAAAAGGAAAAAACACAAGATAGCGTGGCCATAGGAACCAATGCTCGCGCAGGACCACTAGAGACGTAGCAGCGCCCGCGGCCCATGCCCCGCGGCCACACCGATGTCGTCGTCGTGTTGCTGGAGATATAGCTACGGGTGTAGCCCACTATGTGGCCGTCGGATCTGCCACACCTGCATGTGGGCCACCAGGACCTCCTTGACCGTGTTGGGTCATCGGGGCTACCGATACCGTCACGTCCTGCACCCACGCTGAGCCACTGTGGAGAACTGGCAAGGGAGAAAGGAAGGGGGAGAGAGAAGATTTTGGGAGGGAGAGACAGTTTGCTGCAGAAACTGATGGTGAGGGAAAAGGGATTAAGGACACGGATTGAAATGAAATTTTGGGTCCAAGATGCGGGGATCATTGTTAGTTGATAATACAAACCAACAATGATAATTATCTATCATTGCCAGTTGATTTTAAATTCTAACAGTGACTTGCCTTTCGTCTAATCGTCTATGAACCGGTAGTCATACCTCTATTACTGACGATTTAAATTTTTTTTGGCTGTGATGGCCCCGTAAGAATTGGTGTTTTATCTTGCACGACTTGTCATCATATATAGCTCTAAAAAGCAATAGAATTTATTATATAACTGTGGCAACACATGGCACTATATATGTGAATTAATATTAAAGAGCAAAATTTCTTTTTTCGATCTCTCACTCTTTCCTGTCATTCATCTCTCGCTTCACTTTTGTCCCTTGGTCCGTCCTCCCTTACCATTACTCTTTTCTCGCTTCAAGTTTTGACCTAAAAATCCTTCATTGGCACCGTACCAATCATGTCATGGTCTCGCCATATGTGCCCATTATCACTGGCACAAATGCCATATAATAATTTGTATGCCTGGTTACATGCATGGACAGATTTGCTAGCGAAGGTTAAAGACTAGTTTTTAGATTTATCCACTTTCAAGATCCTTGTCATTCCTACTTGCAGAATATTTTAAGGAACACTTACTAAACGCGCTTCTGGACAATTTTTCAGAAAGAGTGCTACAGCTGACTTTAAGATTGTCATGTGCTGATGCTTGTTCGTTTCGCTGAAATTTGGCTTATGCTGGATTGTTGTGAGATGAAAACACTGTTCGTTCGCTAAAAAGTACTACTGAAGTAGTGCTGCAAAACAGGTCAAGTGACGACAACAATGGAGATTTTCGCCAACAATAGATGGTTGTCTTCTAATAGATTTGATGTATTGTTGGCCACTACTGTTAATTTGTGTTTGTTTTCAATCTGCGTGTTCTTTTAATAATAGATGCATAACTTATGCATGGATCAGAATAAAATTTGTTTTTCTAAAAATCTAATTGTCAAGCACACTTGAGCCATCATTACCAGCACCGGAACAGCTCAGCAAGATCAGGGCACTAGTACTACCACATACATTCAAGTGGAGGGTGAAAGACATTATCCTTTTTGCTGATCAAAATTCGGCCACAATTCCATTCACAAACATAAAAGCATGTTCCGTTACCGGTCCTGACACAACAAACCATTGCAACATACCTCCTGACACCACCACGCGAGGCCACGAGCAACACCACGCCTTTGAACACAACACGTCATTGGCGTTCCGTGACCGCCCGATCAGAAAAACGAATGGGAATCGATTCTTCCAATGATGTAGTGTCGGGCGAAAAGTACTCCTCCGTTCCCTAACTGGGAACCCTAGGCGGCGCATCTCCTGGCGGTCGAGCCCGTCCCCCCCCCTCGCCGCCGCCGGCGGCCTCTAGACCAGCACCGGCAGGCCCCTCCCCTCC